ATATAGTAACTATAAACAACTATTTGTTCTCTTTAGTAGGTTATGGATAAAATAAGGTAATTCTTATGGTATAATAAAAATAAATAGATTTTTAGAAAATCACCAGGCGACCCCCCCTTTACTGTCCCATGACCGCTCGGGGGGTCCCGACCCCCACTTTGAGAACCACTGATTTACAGTACAGTGCAAAAGTCTTAGATTTGTTATTTTTGTAATGTTCTAATGACCATACCTATAAATACAACTCGGTCTCAACCTGAACAGAAAAATCATAATTAGAGAGAAATATAAAAAAGCCTGAGTACTAATATCAATATAATACGATTGCCTCATCGTGGTGGGCAAACAGAAAAAAATTATTTACAAATAAATACATAAAATATGCCTATACTGTAAGTCTAAAGATGTCACACTTCAAGTGTGCACTTACAAATTATAATAAAAACTGCTAATAACTACAGTACTTGTTTGATAAAATATAATTAAGATATGACAATTATAGTCTAAATGTACATCCACTCTACAGGCATGTTTTTGACTCATATGTGTAAGCATATGCAGATTGTGTGCTCATCCGGTCAGTCACACATCACTGCCCAGTGGTCTGTCAGCTTCACTCTTTATCTCACCTGGCCACATAACAAGCTGCCTGGCTTGATCGATACAGCAGATGTGCGGGACGCTGCCCTCCCTGCAGGACACGCTCATAGAGGCATGAAGTGTGAATCTTTCTTTATGCTATTACACAGATCACATCAGTATGCTGTGAAGAGCAGCGTACCACCCAGAGCCTGCCATTCAGTGCGATCTGTTGTGGAACAGGGCGGTAAAAATCGCTGTATTGAAAAAAATAAAATACTATTCAAAGACAAAGTGTGGAATTCACAAACTGGAAAACAGACTTTGGAGGAATGTACAAAGAAAAGTGATGCTGCGTTAAAAAATGACCTTTCAAAGGTTAGCAGATTTGTATTCTACTGGTGGAAGGGAACTCAAGTGCAATACTAATTTACTGTTGCTTTTGAAGGCAGGTTTTTGTTTTTCTATATACACATTTATATTTATGGATCAAAGATGAAAGAAGGGGTTTTCATGCACTAAAATGACAGAAGTGTAATGCAGCTTAAAATGCAATGTTTAGTGCTTATTTAAAATATTTTCATTACACCGAGCAACCATGAAACATTTACAACTTTATCTTAAAAGATGTTTAAAACACCAAATCAGGTCCTTTATACAAACATTTTTTTTATTATTTTTATTATATACATTTAGGGATGCATCGATTTTAGATTTTGGTTGCACGATTATAGTCTGAGGACAAATCACAGTTTCATGGATATCAAGATTGTTCTTCTGCATTAATTTATTTCAAACTACTAGTTTAGAAAATCACATGAAAACTTCTCATATTTTAAAGTGTTATTTATTGCTGCTCACTAACCAATTAATACAACACAAAATAAGAGTAAAAACAAACAATCGCCAATTTCTCTTTGGACTTAAAACAAGTGAAAAAAGATTTGGCATTTAAACATAAGTAATACTTTTACACTGAAAATAAATGACAGAAAAATGTATAAATTAATAATTAAATAAAAATAGGAATAAATAGCAAAATAATATTTGTTTAATGTAAATCTAAGCATCGTATTAGCTAAGTAGTTCCTTTTTCAAAGTGAACAAATGCAGCTGAACCTCTGTCTGAAAGGCACTTTTCATTCATTCATTCATTTTCTTGACGGCTTAGTCCCTTTATTAATTCGGGGTCACCACAGAGGAATGAACTGGCAACTAATCCAGCGCATTTTTACGCAGTGGATGCCCTTCCAACCCCAACCCGTCTCTGGGAAACATCCACACACACATTCACACATACACTACGGACAATTTAGCCTAAATTCACCTGTACCGCATGTCTCTGGACTGTGGGGGAAACCGGAGCACCCGGAGGAAACCCACGTGAACGCAGGGAGAACATGCAAACTCCACATAGAAACAACAAGTGAGCTAAGGATCGAATCAGCGACCCAGCGACCTTTTTGCTGTGAGGTAACAGCACTACCTACTACGCCACTGCGTCGCTGAAAGTGCGTCGCACTTTTGATCAACTATATTACAGATTTGTTTGGTATTTTCATCTTTTGATTTTTTTGTCTTTGGATTAGAAATATGTATATTCCAAACAAAGTATTAAGCATACTGGTCAGTTTTTGTTACATGACTTGTGGTGCGCTTGCGGCATTCTTTCAACTAGGTGTGCCTGGAAAGCTTCCAATAACCACGTGCAAGCTGTGCACCTCCATTGGAAATAACAATCTTGCGCAAGCAAAAGAAGTGATATGTGAATGGCTCTTAGTTAATAGCCTCAGCCATAGTTAACCCAGTGTGTGTGTGTGTGTGTGTCTATTAGCCTCGATGTACAACCTTGGAACTTCAAACTAGCGCACAGTTGGCACAACTTTGTTTAGTTGCGTCAGTCTAATTTCATGCAGAAACACGGTGTTGAGTAGCATTTACGATTATTTAACCATGATGAATTAAAGAGCGGTAGGTAGTGAAATCGGTTAATCGTTGCATCCCTATATACATTATATAAATTTGGAAAGCAATACAAGAATTATGGTGTGTTTCATAGCAGAGGGTGACGCGGTGGCGCAGTGGGTAGCATGTTCGCCTCACAGCAAGAAGGTCGCTGATTCAAGTCTCGGCTGGGTCAGTTAGCATTTCTGTGTGGAGTTTGCCTGTTCTCCTTGTATTGGTGTCCTCCGGGTGCATCGGTTTCCCCCACAAGTCCCCCAAAGACAGGTGGTATAGGAGAATTATTTGCTAAAGTTGACCGTAGTGTATGAGTGTGTGAATGAGTGGGTTTTCCAGTGATGGGTTGTGGCCGGAAGGGCATCCGCTGCGTAAAACATATGCTGGATTAATTGGCGGTTCATTCCTCTGTGGCGACCCCAGATTAATAAAGGGACTAAGCCGAAAATAAAATAAATAAATGAATGAATAAAAACAGAACCCTAAAATGTATTTAAAATGATGAAACATCGCTGCTTCTTTCACACATGGTCATGACCAAAAGGGGCGGACTGTGACATTAAAAGCACTTGTGTGCTGCGTAATCATCAGCAAATTTATTCAGCAGTCTTGTTTCGCTTCAACAGCTTTCAACCTTACTCTGCTAGGTGGCATCATTATGGTAAGTTTTGAATGCTTTAGCTCACTTATGAACTGACATCTTCCATGCTTACAAACTCAGTCACAGCATCATCAAACTAAACCTTTGTTTATTGTGATTATGCATCCATGATCCCTTAAGTCTACTATTAGCTTTTCATAAAATGCAAACATTCACTCTGTCTCTTATGAATTATTGATGTAAGAATAAAATTCAAATGACAGAAAATTGACAATGATGATTGGTAGTTGCCATCCCTGAATATTTCTGTTTGTTTTTTTATCTTATTTTAACCATCATAATCATTTTTTTGCAAAGATTGCGGTATTAATCAACTCGCATTCTTCAAACATTAAAAGCATTTAGCTAGAACTATCCATACTGCACGAGCTCTATATGTACTCTGTGAACAGTAAACCTTGCATTCTTTGATCTGATTGGCCATTTCAATCATTACAATGACAAGTACTGTTTTGCTCTGAGGTAGAGCACACTCAATAGATTATAATGGTTTTGAATAAAGTGGGCCATGCTAGCCATTCGCTCTCGACAGAATAATACATGTAGGCCTGTTGCTGGGTTTTTTTTATACATTTAATCATTGGGAAAAGTAACTATGGAAGAAAAAATGTAAAAATATGTTTTATGCACTAGCAGCAATTAGATATCCTTCCCTGTTAAACATGTAAGGGATTAAGTACCTCCAAAGCTGTTAAGCAGAGGGTTTTAGAACACAAAACATTGTTCTTGGCCATAATAGTTCATTAATTCTTAAATTAAAGGCAAATCTGACAAAAACAAAAATGGATGAATGGAGCATAAAATAAACAATGTATTATTTTGTCACAAATAGGCACAAAACTGTCAAAAACATGGATGTGAATGTGTTCATTGATGGTCAGGGTAATATATTTGAATGAGCCTGTGCTATTAGTTTTAGCGGTTGTTATCTCAGAATAACATTCATCGGAATGTTGTGTCTGATCATTCTGAATCAAGTATTCCAGACAGCCATTTAATAAATATGTCTGGGTCACCAAATACGTAATAAAATTGACTGTATATAATTATGAATATATACTGCATCTGCCATGGACATCTTCAGCCTCAGGCTTAAAGATTAGAGGAGCTCTAATCATGACACAAATGTGCATGTACGTACTGTACATGTATTCTAAGTATTTGTTTATTTATTCATTTTCAGAGGGTTATCTTGATTTAGTGGAGAGGTCATGTGTGTGCCCCATGGCATTTGCATCCAATTTGAATAAATCCTCTAAAATCACGTCAAGGTGACAGCTGAAGCGAAATGTCATCTGAGGAACGCTTTGAACGTCTGTTATTCCAAATTATGCTTGTCTAAACTCATAATGGGCACTCGCTTTTGCATAGTCCAAAAGCTCACATAGGAATTCTGTGAAAACACCTTTACACCTGCTGCAAGTTCAGAAAGAAAAACACACAATAATGAGGTTGTGATCTACGCAATTTGCATCAGCATTCATTTTTGTTGTTGTTGCCATACAGGAAAGCGTCTATTATATGCAGTTAGTTTTGCCATGCCATATTTATACATTTTAGACTTAAATGGCAACTGTGCATTTATTAAAGTTTAAAGTACAATTTAAAACTTGATAGACCTAATAATAATAGGCTGATGCACATTATGATATATTTAATGGAAAAATGCTTTTTAATTTTCACAGAACATCCACCGATTTTTTTTTTTAAACGCATTATTTTCACATAAATGTTGCTGAATTTTTGGTGAGGTGATTTTTCCTTTGCCCAAGGAGATGCTTTTTAATATCTGGATTCCTACCGTCTACACAGGAGGGTTTGTTTCGTGTCGTGCCAGCCACTTTTCCTGGTAAACATGAACACTTGACCGTCTGGGAACGTTCCTCAATACGGTTCTTGTTGCAACATCGGTGTGCTGCGATCACCTCACATGTTCCTCCTTCTGTGGATACAGAAACACAAACACACATAAACATCAGTTGCACATATATGAGATACTATTTCATGTTTGACACGTAATAAAGATGCATGTTTATCTGCTCAGTCTGGTATATATCAGTGACATGCATCTGAGAAATACATATTTCAGAGATGTGCACCAGGGATACAAGCAAATCAGTGACAAATACACATTTATGAGGTCAACAGAGAAGGAAAACAAGATTGGACAAAGTCTGATGGGAAAGAGATTGTAGACAGCCTACAGATGATAAACAAACATCAAACAGTAAGAAAGATTCCATTTGCTCACACAATATGACCAAATTTAAGGAGACTCTTCATGCATCTACTTATTGCATTTATACAACAGATCAACTTCACAAGTTTGGAAACAAATAAGAAACAATCACAGAGTAACATAACCAGAACCTCTGGTATTACACGATTTTATGGCTAAACATAACATTTGTCCTTACATATGTCTTTTATTGAAATATGTAGTAAAATATCCTTTAAATTAGATTTATGTTATTTAAAAAAATGCACATTTATTTTAGATCATAGGGTAGTGCCAAATAAATGTTCTCAATGAGATACTTGTGCTGCCTGTTGCTTTACCACAGCACAACACATTCAATAAAACACTAACATGATGCCACATTGTGTGGTTTCACTTGATATTTAAGAGTGTGTGGACTATATAAAACACCAACAATGCAGCATTTAATTTAAGGAAACCACTTATACATTTCTACAGATCTTCCAGTAGCTGTGCCTTACTCACAGTTTTTCTCAATCACTTTAGTGCATTTCTCACAACACTATTTACATTTGCACAAAAGTTAATGAATTTATCTAAACAATTAGTACAAACTGCAAAACCTAGTGGATTACCTGCAAAAGCGTGTCACTTGCTCAAAATTTGCTCATTCCACAAAATCAAGTATTCATGTCAATGAAAGTGTCAGTGTCATCTGATGAAATGTCCAGACACCATTGTTTATGAACAAGATAGTCAAATGGCTTTGTCATGTTTTCATTATGATAGTTTACTCTGTAAATTTTTTTCAATGCAAAAAAAGTCAGATTTTGGTTACACTTCTTGAAAATGCTCAAGACAGCTCTATACTATTTGCACAGCCATTTGAAAACTACAGTAAAGTTAGACATCGCAGTATTTAGTGAGGTATCTGAGTACAAGACACTGATAATGTATGTTTCACATTTTGACTGCATATGCTCTTTGCTACTGTAATTAATTCCCAGCATTGCGCAAATGAATGAATACACCCTTATTTACAACAAACATAAACCCCCTTTGGGTAAAGCTGTGCACAACTGTAAAAAATGATGCAGTACATATTGGAACCGAACCTAAAACACACACTGTAAATCATTCATGAAATGTTCAATTTAGAAGACATTTTCAGGAATTAAAAAAATAAACAAATAAATAAACTTTTTTAAAAAAAAATAGCTTGACAGATTTTGACAACTAGTTCAACATTTTTGTATGTAATGACTCAAGTAATGAAATGAGGACTATTGCTTTTATATGGAATGACTATTCAGCATTCACAGGTTTAGTTCATTTTGACTGACATGACATAAGCAAATGATAATGTTATAAAACAGCAGAGAGTTGTATGAAAGCAATTGATGCATGTCCAAAAGCATTTGAAATTTGTTGTAATGAATGAGAAACTGCTACTGTGATGTGCACAAATGGCTAATTGTTTTAAGAAATGCATTAACTGTTGTGCAAATGTAAATAGTGTAGTGAGAAATGCACCAAAGTGACTTAACTGTTTTTACAGATGTAAACAGATTGATTATATGAAGCCCCCCCCCCCCCCCCCCCCCCCCAATAATTAAAACTCAAGAATTAAGGTAATTCAGCTCATTTAAAATAGTTTGAACAAGCAGCAAAAATAATGTTTGAGTGTAGGGGTCCAATGGAGTAATATCATCGAAAATAATAGTGACTCTTATAATCCAAATTATGTATTAGATAATGTGGATTTTTTTCTTCCATGTTTATTTTTTTCTACATACATCATGAAGACACATCATTTACATTTTATATTGGGACTTAATACACAGTCTTAATATCCAAGGTTCCCTTTGAGAATCAAATTGTGCACTTAACCTCTCAGCCAATCAGATTTGAGAATCAGAACTTGTGTAATTATAGTGACTTATTTACTATTTCTACTGATATTTTGTTGAAAACATACAAGTTTCCATTTTTTTATGCTTTAATGTCCATTAGTCACAAATTATTAATAATATTCAGCTTCACTTAAGATCCCAAGGGAAAAAAATGATATTGACATGTAAGGGAGATCTTTTTTGAGATTTGAACATCACGAAATCAAGATGATTTTATGTACACCAAGGTTTGTTTCTCGCTCTCTCTCTCCCTCTTACTCAATCTCTCTCTGTATTTTAAACATAAAACTAAGTGGGTAAAAAGCAATAAAACTTAAAAAAAGACCTGAAGCATCAGCTCCTTAATTAGATTAACTTCCGAAGTCATCAGTTAAAACAGCATTAGAGCAAATGGCCCTTGAAAAAACCTCTAAAGAGAAAATTATAGGCTCTTCCACAGACTCTTACTGCTAGGCTTTCCATGTAATTACCATGTATTCTTTCTTTTCTCTGTGCTGCAAATTACCCTTGAAGCATGTTGATTATCTTATCTAAATGACAAGCTTTTTACCCTGGTGTGACAGAGACAAGGGCTTTCATGAAGAGCACAGGAAGGTGAGGGTGCTGTCCTTGTTTAGTCTGAAAAAAACAATGTGGAGGCATACAGTAAGACTTTGATTATGACTGAATAGGTAAGACGTGTTCTTTATAAAGAACCTTGTGAAAGCTTATTTCTGCTACAGAATAAAAAAATAGGAAAAAAAACTAAAAAAAAAAAAAAAACTGTTCAAAATTGAGCGACAAACTATTATTTTCAATATACTATAATGAGTTTGCTACCATTTTTTGCTACCATTGTTACCATTTTTTACCTTGGCCTTAATTACTAGGTAATTTAACATTTAGTACAATGCATTAATGATGTACATACATGCTTTTACATTGAACTAATATTTTTAAAACTGTCTTCGAAGTTATATCTGTAAACTATTTCGGTAATTACATTTATAATTACACTCTTGACCCATGCCTCACCCTTACCCAATCTCAAACCTACCCATACCTGTCCCTAACCTTACCAGTAGCCCATTCAAGAGCACCAGCATCGTTGTGCAATACTGTATGAACACAATAAGCAGATTGCACTTATTTTCTGATGCAAGTAAAAATAAATTAAGGTTTAACAGTAAATGGCAGCGCAAATGCCTTGTTGATGCCAGAGGTCAGAGAAGAATGGCCAAACTGGTTCCAGCTGATAGAAAGGCAACGTAACTCAAAATAACCACTCGTTACAACCGAGGTATGCAGAAGAGCATCTCTGAATGCATAGCACCTTTAGGCAGATGGGCTACAGCAGCAGAAGACCACATCTGTTCGCTAAAAACAGGAAACTGAAGCTAATTCACACAGGCTCACCAAAATTGAACAATAGAATATTGGAAAAACATTGCCTGGTCTGATGAGTCTCAGTTTCTGCTGCGACATTCGGATGGTGGCAACAACATGGCTCCATCCAGTATGGCTCCATCCTGCCTTTTATGACTGGTTCAGGCTGCTGATGGTGGTGTAAAGGTGTAGGGGATATTTTCTTGGCACAGTTTGGGCCCATTAGAACCAAATTGAGCATCATGTCAATGCCACAGCCTATCTGAGTATTGTTGCTGACCATGTCCATCCTCTATTCTGATGGATACTTCTAGCAGGAAAAGCGCATAACGTGGTCATAAGGATAACATGTCATAAGCGTGAATCATCTCAGACTGGTTCCTTGAACATGACAATGAGTTCACTGCACTCAAATGGCCTCCACAGTCACCAGAACTCAATCCAATAGAACACCTTTGGGATGTGTTGAAAGAAAACACTCACATTATGGATGTGCAGCAGATAAATCTGCAGTATGGTATCAAGCCAAAATTTCGAAAAAATATTTCCAGTACCTTGTTGAATCCATACCAAATAAGTCAGAATTGACAATTGTTAACTCAAAAACGCTAAATTTAAACAGAGAAAACATGAAAGAAAATGATCAGAACAGCAAGATGTTAACTCAGCATATACCAAAAAAAACAAAAAAAAATCCAGGACCTGTATTTAAGAATACTCACAAATTTGTTACCTTTTTCATTTTTTTATTTCATTGCAGAAGCAAACTCCCATATCCTTGACACAGTGCAATAATGAAGTCTTCACAGTCATTAGCACGCTCCTTGCCCTTCACACACATACCTCAACCATTTATCCAAAGCTACACTAAATACTCTGTGGTAAAGTAGACCCCATTGTGACAAAAAAAAAAAGAAAAAGAATAAAAGTTCAGAATGCGCAAAAAAGCCACTATAGCAGGTCACCATAACAATAGCACGCACCCCAAGGAGATCTGGGGGATTGATGAGAGGTAATGGTTTTCCCCTCAACCAGTGGCCCTCACAGCTCCACACCAACCTCAAGACGAAAGAGAACAAGAGAACAGAGGAGGACAGAAGCGCAGGATGGAAAAAGGAGGACTGTAGGAGGGAAGGAAGCAGGCAGGAAGATTCCTCGCTGGGCCGTGGCGTGCCGGGACGGGCCAGCTTGAGTAATGACAGAGCCGCTGGAAGCGCCACCTCTCACACAATTATAAAGCGACCAGGTAATTCAGCCGGTGGGGTTTCTGCAGCAGGGCCCTTCATCAGATGCAGCCCTTTCCCCAACACCCGCAGAAACCCTCTTTATCTTCCCCTGACAGCTGTCCACCCGAGCGCTCCCATATCCCACAATTACAGCACAGCTCAGCTCAGGAGAGAGCAGAGAAATTGCGGCATACTGAGAGGAGGGGAAGAAGGAGGAGAAGGTGGACACCCCCTTTCTAACTAGTTTGAGGGTCCGTGATTTATGTTTTAGGGAAAAGCAATTTATGAGGATCACTTTTTTTTTATTTGATGGTACTGTAGGTTTACATTGGTTGAAATTTTGGTTTTTGCTCATTAAAATTTGCTGAAA